GAGAGGGAGGGAGGAAGGATCAAAAGCAGGGAACCCCCAGATTGAGTATTCGTGCTTTGCTATAGCCTATTGCAAAAAATTTCGTAAACCTAGCTAAAATATTTGTAAAAATATGGCCATATTAATATTTAAAAAAAAACTATTTATTTTGTCTTCTTTGGCTATAACTCCGATTTGAATATCTTAAAAACTCATTAAGTTTGATAAATTTCCTAAATAGTATCTGTATTTTTTAAGAGAAAAATATAAATGATATAAGGGGTTTTCAACAAATTTCCTTTTGCATAAGTCAAAATTAAATAACAAATAATACCTCGAAATGTGATGGTATAAAGAAAGAAAACATACTTTTATGGAGGATGATCACATGAAATACGCTGCCATTTTAAATAAATTTTACCTAACAGTAAAAAATAAAATTTGTGAAAAATCCATAATCATTCAGAGCCATCTTTGAAAAATAACGAAAACTGATTAAAGAATTGCTAAAAACTTTTTCAATGTTTCAGATATTCGAATCGGACTTTTACATTAGCAACTAAATACAATTCACCACATTTCATTTTATAAAAAAAAAAATTCATTCGCACTTGTGAAGTCAGAAAAAGCTACTTTAAAGGCTCAGACTTTGTGCAATTTTTAACAAATTTCATTTTAAAATAAAAATTTTGCTATTAATTAAAAATTATTCTGAAAATTTTGCTAAACATTTTTGAAGTTGCAGCCAAAAATTGCAACAGAATGTTTTTAATATAAAAACTTTATTTCTCTGAATATTTAATTCAATTATTGAAAATAACAGCCGACGTAATCATTGCAAGTTACAAGTTTTTTGCTATGTTTTTGCCATAGGGTGTACAAAAATCCTTGTTTTCATTCTTAATTTAATGTTGGTCCTTTTAACCTGTGAAAGCTTTGAAACTTATTGATAAGTATGAAAAATTGCATGACCTAAACACCTCTAAATTACAAAATAATCATCTCTGTATTTTTTGAGAAATTTTTTAAAATGTCAAAAACTGAAAGCGTCTTTTCTATTACTATAGGGTAATGTATGTTACGCAAAACATAATTTTGAAAGTGATCAAGCTGGCCGCTAAAGGCAGAGAGTACTTTTGATAATTATACTTAAGAACTAAGGTAAATTAAGAACATTGGATAATTATTTTCCAATCAAATAGATTTAAAAATAACTATTCAGCGAATGGAAAATCAAAGCTAAGTCTTCTAGCATATACCTGGTAGATCTAAAAGATTAGTTAGTAACTGTTGTCACTACATACATTGAAAATAAAAGTTCACCACTAGCTAGATGCCACAATGAGGAACCTGCATGCGTTGGGTAATCACAGAATGTTGATTATTTTAAATAGTCTACATCTTAAAACTCTCTAAATGGACAATTGCAGTCAATTTTTTTTATGTTCTTAATGAANAATCAATTCAGAATTTAAAAAACTGCCCCGAATTCTAAAAGAACTCAACTTAAAATTGGCCTTAAACGAAACTACTTCACGTGACACAAAATGAGGCGGCGTTTGCTTATGACGTCTGAAGTAACTCAGCGAACGGGAGGAGTTAAACCAAAGCTTCCTATCGAGAAAAGTGTTACAAAGGCGTTTTAATTTGAATTACATTTTTAAAAAATTGTTTTTCTTTCATGTTTATATCGTATATATAGTTTAAATATATATGTAGTGTATAACAGATGCATCCTCCCCTTTGAGAAAATTTTTGTGGGTACCTTTCAGCATGATATAAAATTGAGAAATGAAAAAATAATTATTTATTTATTTTCTTATTTTTATTTAAACGACTTAAAACTCCGCATGCACCACAAAGTAGAGCATGAGGCTTACAGTTGTAAGTAGAAAACAAAAGGAGAAAAATTTACAAATTTACATTAAAAACAAAATTCCGCAAGGACGCAAGACTTTCGGAATATTGCTTAAGAAAAAATAAATATTGAAACTACTTTTTTTTTAATAACTTTTGAAGTAAATTTGTTTTTCTTTATTTATACTGGTTCATTTTTACGAATATTTGACTATTTATAAAAGTCTGAACTGTTTTGAAAGTTTTCGTTTCATGAGTTTATCCCAATTGGAGGGAATGAAATAAATGGTATATGACCTGGAATTATAAGTTTTTAGGTAAATAAAAAAAAATTTAAATAATTTTTTATTATTATCTTCTAAAATATTTTCTTGAATTTTTTTTTGGAAGTAATGTAACTAATGCTAAACCCCTATCATTTTTTTATTGTAACTTTTATAATTTTTTCTTCTAGATAAAATTAATTAATTATTTTTTAACTCAAAACCCTTCAGCATAATGGAATAAAATTGAGAGATGAAAAAATAAATGTGTAAATTACTTTTTTTTCAATAACATTTGAAGTAAATTCATTTTTCTTGATTTATACTGGTTCATTTCTACTAATATTTGTTTATATATAAAAGTCTGAACTGAAAAAATAAATTAAAAATTAATTTGTTTTGAAAATTTCCATTTAATGAGCTGATCCCAATTAGAGGGAATGGAATGAATGGTATATGACCTGGAATTATAATTTTTTTAAACAATTCTTTTTTATTATCAACTTCGAAAATATTTCTTGGATTTTTTGAAAGAAATGTAAATAATGCTAAACCCCCATTTTTTATTTCAACTTTCATAATTTTTTCTTCTAGAAAATTTTTTTTATTTTTTATCTCAAAACCCTTCATAATGACATAAAATTGAGAAATGAAAAAATAAATGTCGGAACTACTTTTTGTTCAATAACTTTTAAAGTAAATTCATTTTTCTTATTTATACAGATTCATTTTTACTTATATTTGTCTATATATAAAAGGCTGAACTGTTTTGAAAGTTTTCATTAAATGAGTTGATCCCAATTACAGGGAATGGAATGAATGGTATATGACCTGGAATTGATAAGTTTTTAAGTAAATAAAATAAAAAATTTTTTTAATTATTAACTTCTAAAATATTTTTTTGATTTTTTGGAAGAAATGTAAATAATGCTAAACCCCCTTCATTTTTTTCCTTCTAAATTTGATAATTTTTTCTTCCAGGTAAAATAAATTTTTTTTCAACTTTAAAAAACACCTGTACACCTCTGTTCTCTAAGAATAAAATCCTTTCATTTTTAAGAATAAAAAAAGAAAGAGATCTGAATAGCATTTCATAAACATTTTAATTCAGTATAATGAATTATTCATTCAGAGAAGCTTATCAAACAGAAAAACATGTTATAGAATTAAATTAAAATTTAGTAACTAACTGTAAAATGGTCTTCACAACAGTATAATGCAGTAGTTGCGATTTTTTTTCCCCTTTCGCGTTTGATGGCTTTGCACCAAGTTTGTCTAATTCTCCTTTTGGTACAATAAAAAATAATATATTTAGGGCGTTTATCGTAGCATTATTGCAACGTGGTAGGTACAATGTAACACTTGTAGTTTTAGCTTGGAGCTATTTTTCAGAATTCATACTCGGCGCACATGCTTTCGAAACATGATGGGAGTCGTGGTTGTACTATACTGTGACGTCATCAGAGCAGAAGGGAAACCTAGCAGCAATTATGGGGGGCGGGGCTAATCAAGTGATATTTATTATTAATAAAAAAATAACTAGTTATCGCACTGGTCTGAAATTGGTGTCTATCTTCATAAAATAGCATGTTTCATTTCAAAACTGAAAAAAAAAAAGCATGCAGGCACCTCATTGTCTAAACTGATTCAAAATGCAACGCTCACCCGAGTACAAAAGTTAGGTTATTCAACCTTACGAATTCAACTTTTCATACGTCGCATCATGTACAATAATAAATCACATCATAATAAACACAACGGTGAACAACTAGAATGTTTTTTGTGAGAATATTTTATTACACGCACACAAAAAAAATTACATTATCCAAATCAAAAATTACAATAAACCTGGTTGTTCATAGTAACTTTTGGATACTATGAGCAACAAGAAAGATATCCATTTTACAAAAATATTTTATTGCACACACAACAAAAAATAGATTTAACATTAGGAACATGATTGCTGAAAAAGATGAGCATCCTTACTTTACATAAAATGAGCGAATAAATCACTTCACATCATTATAATAGCATAAAAAATTCTTAAAAAATAAAATGAAATAAATTTTAAAGAATGTCTTTTACAAATTTATATAATTTCATTAAAAAACTTGCAAATGCAATTTTGAAGTAAGTGCATTTTATTTTAATTTTCTATAAACAAAAAAATAGAAATATATTTTGTACAAGATATGAAAACTGTACTAAAAATAATAATCTTCAAAAAATATCTTTGACATATTTTTTATACTTAATTTCTTTATCTATTATGTTATAATACACAGTATAAGCATAAAATAAAAAAATGAAGTGCATTTTATTTTAACCGCTTATAGAAAAATAGAAATATTTATAACAACATATTGAAAATGTGCTTAACCATTATAAGAAAAGAACTAAAAAGTAATATCACACATTTATACATAAAGACCTCATGAATTTTTTTTTTAATGAACTGGGCAGCTATTTAAAAAGGAAATTAAAATCATTTGAATATTTCCTTATTAAATTTAATTATTTAGTAATATAGTTTCGGAATGAAAAAAAAAAACCTAATTATGATCTAGTAATTTTGATTAATTTTTAATAGTTTGAGTATTCTTGTGCATTCTTCAAATTTTGGGTGGAATATACGCTCAAAAACGTTGAAATGCGATTAAAAAAAATTTATGATTAGTAAATATTTAAATGGCTTGCCTTGAAGAACAAGAAACTGATATTATGAAGCAATCTATACTACTTTATATGTTTCATAATCCAACTAAGAATAATACATCTCACCGGTATGAACACGACCATGTCTAGTGAGATTACTTTTTAGTGAAACACTCTTATTACATATACTAGAAGAAAAAAGCTTCTGTGAGTGCGTTCTTTCAGATTAATTTTTGCGAAAAACTCTTATATACTACAAGAATAAGGCTTCTCACCAGTATGAACACGACTGTGTTTATTCAGACTCCTTCTTTCTGAAAAACTTAAATTACAAATAATACAAGAATAAGGTTTCTCACCAGTATGAACACGACGGTGACTGGTCAGATTACTTTTTTGTGAAAAACTCTTATTACATATACTACAAGAATAAGGTTTCTCACCAGTATGAACACGACCGTGTGCATTGAGATCACTTTTTTGTGAAAAACTCTTATTACATATACTACAAGAATAAGGTTTCTCTCCAGTATGAGTATTCATTATATTTTCAAAGTGNTCTGAAAAACTTAAATTACAAATAATACAAGAATAAGGTTTCTCACCAGTATGAACACGACTGTGACTTGTCAGACTACTTTTTCGTGAATAACTCTTATTACATATACTACAAGAATAAGGCTTCTCACCAGTATGAACACGACTGTGACTTGTCAGACTACTTTTTTGTGAATGACTCTTATTACATATACAACAAGAAAAAGGTTTCTCCCGAGTATGAACACGCCTGTGTTTGGTCAAATTTGTTTTTACTGAAAAATTTTGATTACATATGCTACAAGAATAAGGCTTCTCACCAGTATGAACGAGACAGTGGCGTGACAGAATACCTTTTTGTGAAAAACTCTTATTACATATACTACAAGAATAAGGCTTCTCACCTGTATGAACACGACTGTGACTGGTCAGATTACTTTTATGTAAAAAACTCTTATTACATTTACTGCAAGAATAAGGTTTCTCACTGGTATGAAGACGACCATGTGTAGTGAGAACACTTTTTTGTGAAAAACTCTTATAACATATACTACAAGAATACGGCTTCTCACCAGTATGAACACGACTGTGTCTGATCAAATGACTTTTTAGTGAAAAATTCTTATTACATTCACTACAAGAATAAGGCTTGTCACCAGAATGAACAAGACTGTGTTGTGTCAGATTTGCTTTTTGTGAAAAACTCTTTTTACATATACTACAAGAATAAGGCCTATCACCAGTATGAACAAAACTGTGTTTATTCATAATCATTCATTGAGAATATCTTATTATCTATACTACAAGAGAAAGGCTTCTCACCAGTATTAATTTTACAGTGTTTAGTCGCACTTTTTTCCTGAAAACCTCTTGTTAGAACAAGAATAAGGTTTACTTACAGAATGATACTTATTCTGAATTAAATTAAGCCTTTAAAAACATGTGATGCAAAAAAGAGCATGCTGTATCAAGTCACTTAATTGACTTAATTCTCTTTAGGCGAAAATACCAAGATACAAAACTAAATGTAATTATTTTACTTTACGATATTAACATGATAATAACTATTATGAACATGAAATTATAAAATTTGATTTCATTAGCATATTATTCACAAAGACATTGCAGAAATATAGTTCATTATAAACCAAGAAAGGCAAAAAAAGTTTTTTTTCACTTTCACCGACTTATAAGGTTTGAAATTATCTATAAAAATATTTTTCAAAAAAAAATTAATTTTCAATTTTTATATCAATGTTTTATCATGCACCTGAAAAGCAAGCTCTTATACGTTAACATGATTACGAGAAAGTCAACAAAGTTTAATTTTATTCACGAGTATTAAATTGCACAAACTGAATACAGAAAATATTTTCTCAGTGTTAACAGAAAAATCACAATTTAAATTTCTTGAGTTTAAATACATGTTTTACGTAAGTGACACACAGCTTAATTATCTGCAACTGTAATCAGTAATCTGAAATTTCATTTATAACTGTTTAATAATACAATTCATACTACCATGAATACGCAGGCTTATAAATTTGATTCAAGAAGTTGCAAATCAAAAACAATTTCTTAAAAACTATTCTTTACACAAACATGGTTAGTTTATGCATTCTTCGGCCTAATTAAGACATCATGTTTTATTATAGTTTATCTCTCAATTTTTTCACAAATAAGCAAATAAATCCGGTGAGTATTAAGTATGATAAAGTTCGGCGAGCATGTATTTGTTTACGTTATAGGTTGCCTACTTCTACTCATCTGATCTCCATCTCCAGGATCTTCGGACATTTTTTGACCAGTAGAGGACGCTACTTATTCATATTTGCCTATCCTTTTTTTCAGAGAGTATTCCTACTGCATTGCAGAAAATCGCTTATGCGATTCCGAAGATGCCACACAGAAAATTATCGGTATCTAAAAAGACTTCGAACGAGCTAGGAAGAGAAAAATGACGTCATTTTGACGTCACGTTTGTACTCCTAGGGAAAACCTGAAACCTCGCGCTTTCGAACGGATTTTGCTAACGGGCTGCGATCTTCATTTTTCCTCCCATCTATCGGAAAGCTTTCACCTATCAAATTGCTGGTGAAAGCGATTCGAACGTTCGAATAGGATGCGTTTAACGCTGGGATTAAATTAGATTTCCGATTTCAAAGATAATTTTTACCCAGATATTTTATGATTTTTTATAATCATTTACCTAGATATTTTATGAATATATTTCAGACATAATTTTTTCTCTCACAAATTTATTATTTCATATAATAAATGGATTAAATAATTAGTTTCGGTTTCTAGCAGAACTTATAATAAAATCTATAATAATCTTGCACGACTTTAAATAAAACGAGAACATTTTTTCTGTTCCAAATTTTTGTGTATTCTTAGCCATAATATGTTTAGTATAATTATTGCCATGTTTTTATTAACTTTTATTTTAATTACCTCGTAATATTTTCAAAATATCTGCAGGAAAAAAAAGGAATTTTTTTCTTTAAAAAATTGGTGAGTTATGACTGAGATTAGTGCCAAATAAATAAAACATATTACTATAACTAAATCGTATAAAATTTAAATAAGAATTACTATAAATTGTATGCTTATTTTTAATCCGCTATGCAATTTTCTATCAGAGATTTGAAAGAACTGAAGCTTTTAGAATATGATCGGTTTTGTAATTTTTATAAAGTAGTTGATTAGTTTAGATGCATAATTAAGAAGCATAATTTCATTTATTTTCACTTGTCTTTTGAGTTGGGTAGAATATAAGTGGGTAATAAAAAGCATGGAATATGAAGAGCGGAAATTTTTTCGATATAATCGTTTTTGAATTATTATTAAGTTGCAGTTAAATTTAGATGCATAATTAAGAAACATTTTTATTATTTTTTTTATTTTTCTGTTCATACTTTAAATGCGAAAATTTCATCTTTTATTTTCTAAGACAAAAAGATATTTTTACTCTTATATCTATCTATAATGCCAAAATATATTCGACAATTTATTTTTTGAAAAATTATCTATTATTTTTAGGAATAAAATTTGTTAAGATTAAGATTAAAAAAATTCTAAAATCACCTTTTTTAAATTTTTTTTTGTTAGAAATAGCATTAAAAAAGCAATTGAATAAGAAAAGCGTTTTAGAGTTATTTCTTAATCTTCTGTTTGACATTTGATCTTTTTAAAATAATTACTCCTTTAATAAAATGGTAAATAATAAGTTTTAGGGTGGAAAAAAAACTTAAGCATTATTTTCTTTTCTGTTTTGAGATTCTCCATTAAGTATCAGCTAAGTTATTCTAAAGATATTCACTTATATTTATTTGTTATTATTAAACTAGCGTTATTATGTTTTTATTCAAGTAATACTTTAAATTATCTTAATGTATGCGATTAATTCTACTTCAAAAAGCTTTTTTCGAATTTTTGCGACGTGTAAAAAGAGAGAATTTCTTTTGAATTGCTTTAGCATAATTTATTTATATACAGAATGGTAAATCATAAGAAAAAAATATCCTGCGTCAATCAGAAAAACAATTGAGAAAATTTTGTTCTTAAAAATGTGTGCAATAAAAACTAGTTGATATTTGCATCGAGCTAAACTACTAACACTAATTTGTGATAAAATAAAATCACGAATAATCCTTATGGCTAGACCATTTTCCATTGCTGTACAATGGAAATGTATAACTAAAAGTTCTAACTCCCAAAAGTTCTAACAAAGTTCTCATGACTTGGCACCCTTGTCTTCTGAGTTGGATTCCATATAAGAGCATAATAAAAAGACCGGAATATAAAGAAAGAAAACTTTTTTAATAAAATTGTTTTTGAATTAATTGTTTTAAAGTTGCTGGTAAATTTAGATGCATAATTAAGAAACCTTTTTTTATTATTTTTTTCCTTAATTTTCCTGTTCTCAATATTCCAAGAAAAAATTATTTATATTTCTAGTCTTATAATTATGACATCGAAATATACTCAAAAATTTGTTTTTTAAAAATTATGTAATATTTTATGAAAAAAAATTGTTAAAATAAACATTAAAAAATTTCTAAAAAAAATCACGTTGTTTTAAATATTTTGTTTAAAAATTGTACTAAAAAAATTCTAGACTAAAGAAAACTTTTTAGTTATTTCTTAAGCTGTTGTTTGACATTTGAATTTTTGAAAATACTTATTGTTAGTATTACAAATTTTAGGGAGAGAAAAAATCAAGCATAATTGTTTTCTCTGTTTTGAGATTTTTTTTTTAAATATTAGTTAAGTATTAATAATTTGCTAAGTATTATTAATTTTTAAATATTAACTAATATATTCTGTTTTACCTGTATTCATTGGTAATTATTATACTAATCTTTTTTTGGTATTATTCGAATAATATTTTAAGTTATCCTCATTGATGCAATTAATTCTAATTCAAAAAGTCTCTTACAAATTTATGTGGCACTTAAAACAAATATTTTTCCGAATTACTTTTTCATAATTTATTTACATACACAATGGTAAATGATAAGGCAAAAAAAAAAATAAAATCCAGCATCAAATATAAAAACAATTGAGAATATTTTGAAATTGAAAATGTGTTTAATTGAAAGTATTAAAAATACTTGTAACGAGTTAAACTTTAAAAACGAATTTGTGATATAAAAAAAATCACGAACTGCCCTTATGGTTAGAACGACAATAGTGAAATTGTGTAACTAATAACTCTAGCATGAAATTCTTAAATAAAGTACAACTACTTGGCATCCTTGTCTTCTGAGTTGGGTTTAATGTAAGAGGGTAATGTAAGGCAAAAAATTCATTGCAGAGAATTTTTTTCCAAATCTAGTTCAATATAACACAACGATTGAAAATACCATTTCCAAAAAAGAGATAAATTATTAAATTTGAAAAATAAATATTGCATTGTTTGAGTTGCGAATTGTAATTTATTATAAAAAATATTATAAAAAAGAAGAAAATAATGTTTTTCTTGAAAAAATAACTTACAATTATTAAAATGTATAAGTTTGCAATTGCGAAAAAAAAAAAAAAAAAAAAGAGGAATCATAACAAAAAAGAAAGTGAAAAATTGAAAAAGCAGTTTCTTTTAAAATTGTAAAGCAAATTTTTTTTAAGATTATTTAAACTAACAATTATTTAAAAAATGCTAGTTTAAAGTTTATTTCATGCATTCTACCGATTTATTAAAGTTTATTTATTGCGCGTTATTTTGATACTTATTGTAGCTTTAAAACTAAAAGATTTTAGTGTTATAAAGTATAAAGCTACACATTTTATCAATTGCAAATAATAAAAAAAAATAATAATTATAAATAATAGAAGGTAATAAAGTAATCATAAATATAATAAAAATTTTATAAATAATAAAATAAGTAAAAATAGAAAATTGCAAAATTTTGTGAAATTAAATAACCTTTATTAATCATTAGTTCTTTAAATCTAAAAGCACTCGATAATATACATATAATTTCTAAAGTTTCATAATCTAGTGATAAAATTTCTGATTGACTCAATTACATTTATTTAAAACAACATTCAAAGTATGATTTTTAGAAAAGGTAATAAATAAAGATGTATTGGATTTGTATTATTGATTTGTATTATTTGACGTATTATTTTTTATTTTAAGAATATTTCTTTTTTTTGGCAAACTGTTAGTAAATATAGTTATAAGTAAATCGATTCTCTAATAATAAATACAATAATGCAAACAAGTTTAAAACGAATACTACATATTAAATTCTTGAAGAAAGATCAAAGATTAAAATATGTAGATATTTATTTTAGACTATGTATGTAACTGTCAAAATGAAAGAAGAATACATTCTCTTTCTGAAAGAACACTGTAAACTCTGGGATAGAGGTCACGACCCCTAAGCGAAGGGAGAACGATTAAAGGATAAACAAAAGCCATTGGTCACTTTCTTATAACTATCGATACAAAACGTCACTTCCTAGGGGGAGGGTCCGAACCTTTGTTCGAGGGCTGGGATTCCCTTCACCGCTCTCTTCGGGAGTTGCGAGGTTTGGATTTTGTTTTACTATCGGACGGTGGTATAGAATAGACTCCGGGGAATAGTGACGTCACCGTCCGTGTTCGAAAGCTGCGAGGTTTGGGGTTGCATTTCAACTTACCAATATGAATTAAGACCTTCGCATTTTATTTTTCCACATTGATTCCCGGGTGTGCAACAACATCTCAATTTCGTTCAATATTTATTGTCGTTGTTGTAGTTAATTTACGTCGCACTGGAGCAGCACAATGGGCTATTGGCGAGGGGTCTGGAAAACATCCCGGAGGATGATCCGAAGGCATGCCATCACAATTTTGATCCACTGCGGAGGGGATGGCACCCCCGCTTCGGTAGCCCGACGACCTGCGTGCGAAGTCGAGCACTTTACGGTAGCACAGTTTAACGAGGACCAATACCGCACACCCTCGGTCCCAACGCAGACTGATCCAAGTGGTCACCCACCCGCACACTGGCCGCAGCCAGAGATGCTTGACTTCGGTGATCTGCTGGGAACCGTGTCTTAACGATCAGTCCTCTGCGGGACCACCCACTATTTAAGTAGTTATCTAAATACTTCACCATGGAATCACCTAGTAAAAAGAGTAACAAAGTAAAACATATTTTAGTATTTTCTGAAGAGACAGAAGAAATATGCAAGGGTTGCTTCGCATTGTTCTTTTACACTTAAACATTTACTGTCAAAAATCTCAGGATATGGAAAATGAAAAAAATGCATATATAGATATTGGCGATCGCAACGCTCGAATACGCCATCTGGGGAGAGACCGGTTTGCATGTAAACTCTCTTTGCACACATAGAATCCCCACGAAATTTTGAGTCCGCTGATTAGCTTTATCGGCATTGC